GCATCCTCCAATGCAGCTCTTGTTTCTACCAACAAATCCATAGTGGCAGTCATGCTGACTCACACAGCTAGTACTAGTGCCAGTATTACAGTTTGTTGTTGCTGGAATACATACTTACTATCAACACTCCCACTGTAGAGTTCTAAGAATGATTAATCCACTCTCAGCTGGAGTACTACTACTACTAGTGATACCAGCACRGGAAGGAGAAATTTTCTTGATATTAAATGTAGAAGTTGTGTGTTCTGAGATGCTAGTAATATTTCCATGAAGGAGATGTTAATATGGATTTAMTTTGTCTTGATCCTTCTATTTGGCTCCTTCTTGTTTGGTACACCTTTTACAATTGGTATTGCCTTTGTTTTGAAAATGATAAGAAGAAGTAATGTTGGTGGCTACCGCCCTACCATGTCCATCACTCACGCAAATGCTCACTGAGAAAGGTGTCATTGCCAGAAATAAGAAGAGGGGTTAATTAACACATTGTTCTCAAATGTGCTTCTCACTACATATCTCAATTATAAGAATTTCTCTTATTTCTCAATGTTGTGGCCTGCTAGTATCAACTCTGTTGGATTCCCCAAAATGCTTATCCTCACATTGGACTTTCTGATATGAGTTTTTTTTTTTGAAAGGGGGCATTTTTGGTGTGTTTAGTGAATCTGAGGTTTAGTGTTGATATTTCTTAGTACTGCTGRCCATACATTATTTGGTTTGATACTCCTTTTTGAAGATGTGTTTCTTGGACCTTCTTGATATGCTTTCACATGGTTTTGGGTTCACAAGAACTGTGTTTTCATCACCAGAATGGTTTGGCTCCATCATCAATACTACTGCTAGTAGTGGTTAGTGCATACTAGTAGTAGGTCTGTGTGGTTAGAAGCCACCTTGCTCTAGCAGTAGTACAATGTATATTCCTTTAACATTAGACAAATACCTTTCTTCTTCTTGTACTAGATACTAGTAGCCTAATTACTAGTACTAGTACTCCTTGGTGAAAAATTGTCTTACTTGCCCTGTAGGTCGCTTTGGTATTTGGGTTGGATGCTGTATCATTTTGGAATTATTTTGCTGTCATTTGTGAACTCTCTGGCCTTGTTGCAATGCCATTGATTATGTACTTGTTCAAGGAATTCTGTTTGTTCACAATTTGGAACTGGTAGTAAGGGGATGGCATGGGAGATACCCCAAAGTTGACATGGATGCTTTCTTGGAAGAAGTTACACACATTATGGTGAAATGGAATGGCATCTACATGTTTGAACAAGATTCTGCTCCTAACAAAGTTTGTTGTTGTATCACAAAAGCAGTCAAGTCAGAACAAGAGTTTTACACTGACAGGATCAAGACTCACGAGGAAGGTTCATTTCTCAGGAAGAATTGCATGCAGCAAAGCGGGTTTGGCAAGGTTGTAGTAGAGGTGAAAGCATTGATGAAAACAAAAACAGAAAGGAAATTATCATTTCAGAACTTGGTGGGTGTGAGCTATATTGCTTAGGTGTTCTTACTTGCAAATTGTCAAGATAAAAAGGAGAACAAATAATTGTTGGTGCTGCTAAAACAGGAATCTAAGACATGTTTTATGTTATCTTTTTGAAGCCATTCATGCTGCTGCCCATTGCTCACAATCCAACGGAATAATAGGAGGTAAATTATTATAGATAATCATCAGTACTAGTAATGACAACATGGTTACCATGCACATGAATGCCGAACAATCTATCTTTGCGGAGAGCTTCATGTCGATCAATTGAAAAGAGCAAGGAAGCAAACAATTAYGAATACCAATCCCGCCACCATCCCGTTCGAATGACCGCACGATGTTGGAGGACTCTGGGGTTAAGCATTCAATCCTCTTCCATAGAACAAAAGCAGGTGAATACGAGCGTCCGGTGCAATATAGTATTCACTCGACTCTCACTATCCTACGAGTCGTCGTGCTAGTGCAAAATACTCTGGCGCATCTGTTTGCTATAGCTGTTACGAATTATTGCGTTCTGTCTGTGGCGGCGCTTGCTCTTGCTAGTCCTCGATGATCCCCARCGACCGGCACGTGTGGTCCCGGACAAAGGCGCGGACCTTCGTCCGCTGGTGCTCCGCCCGCCGGTAGGCGTCCTCGAGCCTGGCGGCGGTGTCCTTGTTCTTTTCGATCAGCTCCTCGATCCGCTCCAGCTGCTCTTTCCGCGTCCGGTGCATCCCGGGCAGCTCCGAGACCCTTCGGTCGATGTCGGCGCTCTTCTCCAGGACCGTCGCCGCGACGGCCCGGACGAGGTCGGCGTCTTTTTCCTCCCGGATCCGCTCGTGGATCAGGCGGAAGTCCTTCTCCCGGGTGGGCACCCCCTTGGCGTGCTTCTGGACCAGGGCGAGGGTGTCCGGGTCGCGGTTTTGGTAGGCGAGGCAAAACTCCTCAAAATCGTCCTCCGGGCTTCCGTTGGGACTCTCGCTGTTGCCGCTGTTTTTGTTGCCGTTGGTTTCGCCGGCGTTGCTTGCCTGTGCTTGCTGCTGCTGCTGCACCCCGCCTAGGTTGCCGGATTCGGGTGCTACCGCGTCTCTCAGGCCCCTCAGCGCTTCGAACAACGACAGGGAGAGACCRTCGATTCCTTCCTGTAGCGACGTTATGCGATCGACTTTTTGGTGGTCGTTGTCCGCCGCGGCGTTCGGAGGTTCGGGAGGTCCTGTGGCTTCWGGTTGGACGGTCGCCATGGTAGTCGTATCGGAGACGGAGGAATCAAGCGTTCGTCTTCTCCTATTCTTCGTACCTAATCAGCAAATCGGTCCTTTACTGTTCACCTTGACACAGMCTGGATGACGCGAGTACTCTCGACAATGGCCCCAGACCCTTTCGTTCAACAGAATGAATGAATAAATGAGTGAACAAACCAATCGATCGATCACTCAGATCGTATCTTTACGCTGGACTTGGTAGAGTAGGTGCCACGGAGGAGAAACCCGGATCGAAATGACGGAAGAGGTTGCGCAACAAAGCACAAAATCGGCAGCGGAATCTTTCGCTTTGCAACAGGTCGATTTGGTGTAATAGTTCTACTGTGGTGGCGGTTTCAAACCACAAGCAAGTGACAAGGAGGTGGTGTGCTGTTCGACACTTAGAACAAAAACTGGCAACACAGTGAAACGAAAACAAAAATAATGATCATACTGCTTTCATCACTCATTTTTACTGGTACGTCCGCCATTCGAGTATACCACTAGTACCATCACCAAAAGTAGTACAACTAGTAGTACTTGCAGTAGATACTAGTTCTACTACTAGAAGTAGCAGCAGAACTAGTAGGAAGAGGATACAACAACTAGTAGAAACCTATGGGGCTACTAATGCCTCCTTCTTGTTCCAAATATTAGTAAAACCAAAAACACTTGTTCTTTGAATTCAAATTTAACTCATCATCAAGCAGATTCTTCTTGCACTTACTACTACTAACATAGACCATACACCACCTCAATGTTGTGACATAGTAATTGTAGTACCATCAAGAAAACCAAGAAGCACCAACAGCAGAAATTCCTCAGAAGCTTTCCTTTTGTTTTTGGTGGAAGAGAAGACAAAGAATACTACTACTAGTAGTTGTTGTTATTCTCCTCCTAGTACTACTAGTACTACTAGTAGCCTCTCCTCTATCTTCTTCTTCCTCTTCTTCTTGCTGCATTCTTGTGGTGCTGGTGGGGATAATACTAGTACTGCTACTACTACTAGTAAATGAAGAAGTGCTACGTGACGTGGTAGTACTACTACTACTTGTAGTACCACCACTATTAGTAGTAGTACTAATGATATGCATGTGATGCTTGCTGCTGTTGGTGTTACTATCTTTGTCATTGATTTTGCATTGCTGCCTAGTGATGGTTGTACTACTACTAGTACTAGTACTAGTACTACTAGAGGGGAGGAGAGGAGCATGACGGCACTACCAGAATTTCAAATTTTGTGGGTAAGCAAGAGCAAGAATGATTAATGTTTCCTTCAAAAGTACTAGCAAGAACAGCAAGAAACTTCTTCTTCTTGTTGTTGTTTTTTGTACTACTATTACTAGTCCTACTAGTATCATTATTAGTATTGTGACGACACCAGCTGAGGTTTCTCCTTCTTCTCACTACTACTACTACTGCTACTATTACTCCTACTTGGTGTTGTTGGTTTTTCTTGTTCTTGTTGTTCAAGAAAAGGGGGAACAACAAGAAGAACAAACCACAGCAACAAGAAAGAGTAACAAGAAGAATAGCAGCTAACACAATGACTGTACTAGTAGTTTCACTKGTCCTTGATGAGTTCAAATACTATCAAGAATGAGAAGAAGCACGATGAGAATTATTGAAAGCAGGAGAGGTACTACTAGTAGTACAACAACTACTACTGGTGGTAGTATGATGCTATTGCACATCGGTTGCCGCATGGGAGATTTGATTTTGATGAAAAGGCCGATTCAGAATTAAGAAGTGTGACATCAATCGAACCGTCTGATCTGTTTTGAGAACCATAAACTTCGGATATCGTACGTCATCGGTGCGAAACAAATAAAAAAATTCAGAGCCTACCGGTACCTCCCGTGCGATTACGGTAAGTGTAGGTTGCGATGTTTCCTCATACGGTGCCAAAAGGGCAGGCAACAAGCAATTCAAAATGGCCAGTCGTATGAGACAACTAATTTTAAGTGAATGGGAGAAATAMTGTGCTTTCAAAGCCCTATTGGAATTAGTTTATTACCATTTTAAATTTGGCGTAGCCGAGCACACAATGCGATGTTATATAAATTGCACTCTCCATTTAGTGATGTTCATTGCTCTCCTTTGTGGGAGCCCGCCGAGAAAGCTAGGCAGATCCGGTGACTGTACCGGGCTTGTATTTTTTATTGTTTTTTGGTGGGGTGCAAAGTGGTGCATAGYATATTTTCATTCCTGCCGACCACACGTGAAGTCGTGGCTTTTGTTGKGCGTCGTTTTGTCATCGCTTTGCCAGTATGATTTGTGACAGTCTCTAGGGAATGTTGATCAGGCCGACTCCGCCGGCATTTCTCTTGTACACAACGGATGCCTTTCCCGTTTCTTCGTTCTTGAAGATGAAAAAATCGTGGTCGACGTAATCCAGTGCGAATACGGCCTCGTTGATGGGGATGGCATTGTCKAGGTCGTAGCTGTTGACCTCCATTATGTTGGGCTTGTTGACGTCGATAAAGTCCTGCTCGGCGTACATGAGGTCCTCSACGAGGGCTTCGTCCTCATCAGCGGTTTCTTCGAGCTCYAATCTTTCGAGGGCGTCCATCAGGTCTTGCCCCATGCTGTTCCCGGCGTGGTATCCCTCGTTCCGGCGGCTTCTGTATTTCTGTAGCTTGGACTGCAGAGCCTTAGCGACTGCGTCAATAGATTCATACATGTCGGGGGTTTCTTCCTTGCAGTGGACGGTGAGGCCCTTMAGAGCAGTGGTGCAGTCCACTCTGTGACCGTTTTTGACCTACAGTGRATAGATAATATTGAAAAATACGATTGCAAATGAGAAACCAGAAAGGTGAKTGAAATCGACGACTCATTTTTAATTCGTTGTGACCGTAACAGAATAGTAAGTGCGTCATGTTGTGGACGCAACTCCAAAATGAATCAAATACTACTAGAAAAGAAGAAGGCGCACAGGCATTTGTTTTGTGACACAATGAACATTTTATCGCATTTGTTTTGTCTGATACGTACCGCTGGGTTTTTACTGACAGATAGATGAACGTCACATTCTCGGACGATGCCTCCGCTGCCGAGCTTATCGAGCAGACCGCCGATTCGCTTCTGTGCGTACTCCTCGAGGGCAGGTGTCAGATCGATGTTGTTTCCCGTGAGGACCAGCTGGGCGACRCTGTCKACTTTTTCGGACATAAAGACCGCCGTAGGAGTTCGTGTCGACGAYTGGGGGACGGTGGTGAAGGCAGATGCCGACAGGGGGGCAAGAAGCAATAGCAAAAGGGTAGTRCTGTAGCGTGTCATGGTGTMTAGTAGTAGTTTTTAATTTGAATAAAGGATATCAAGTCGGTTGTTTTGAATTTTATGTTGTGAGAATGTTGATTCAAATACTCGTCGTCGTGAGACTTTTGAAATAAGAAACATTCATCGATGACAGGAGGTGAACATAGGTGGGGTTGTCGATGTTCCTCGCTCGTTCCTCATTTTGATAGTTCGCATCACACGCCTATGACAGCCGTTATCTAAGTGAAACATGCGTCGAAGATCTTCCATTCTCTTCCGTGCGTCGATTTGATTGATCGGTTCATTCACGGGTGTCAAAGAAAGTTTGCTTTGAAGAACATACTATTTCTCTGGTCTCGTGATTGAAGCAGATGTCGAGGAAAGATCGCGAAGAAATAGGGGAAGAAGAAAACAGAAGACGGACAGAGAATAAATCAGTCAACAACTGCGAAAACTATTTAAATTTTGGGGGAAATATGAAGAGAAAGATGGGRTGGCGTCCGTCGATGAATGATTCTTGATTCGTTGGATTAAAATTTGGCCATTTTGGTTTTGGTCACGATCGATGGATGACCGGACGGACCGGACAGTAACATTGGTACAGGTATGTGAAACGGAATTTCAGTTCTTCGCCTACAATAAGCGCGAAAGAAATTGCAATTTTCGCGTTTTAAATTTTTATGAAAAAAAAATGAAAAATGCATGCATTTCATTTTTTGACCACGAAACCTACCAAATCGCTACTTTCTACRGTACTACTACTAGTAATACTGTCTATTTCAGCAACTAAAATCAGATGAAGACATCGGTTCTTTGYCCATTTTATCCAAACACTTCATTCAGAGTATTGGTCACACTGAGTAGTCAGGGTTGTTTGAAACGAGAAACTGACTGGTAGTACTGGTAAACAACAAGAACAAGAACAAGAATAAGTCATCCGAAACACTTGCWGCCCAACAGGGTAACCTCTCTATACTGTAAGGGGGGCGTGCTTTCCCKTGTGTTGCTGCTCCTCTGAATCAACTGATGAATTTTATTCTCCCATGTCTTTTAAGAATATTTTAGAACTACCAGTCGGGTGGTATTGGTAGTTYGACTGCTAATTCTCTATCAGAAAACGATACGGATGCAGAAAAGACAGTGTTTTCCTTGACCCCTGTCGTTCAATTCTTTGCAGCAAAAGCCTAATTTTGGAGGCACACTGGTATTCTTCCGATRCAGACTGCTCATATTTTTAGCCCAAGGCATAGCAACAATCTCTAGGGATAAGGTATTTTGGATTGGTCCTGAGTATAGAACACGTAGCAGTAGCTCTGTAGTGCAATAGGTTCTTGTTTGGTTCTTATGCAGCATGATTCGATGTATAGGGCAGAATTAATTGCTTCAATGTGAGTTTATATGTAAAGGAATATCCGCTTTTGCAAACGATTCAAAAAGGCACAATTGCTTGGTGTCGCACCAGACACGGAACTGTGTCTGATTGCTATCGTTCATCGAAGTCACAAATCAAACTCCCTTTGCCGGTCTGCAACACCTCGCTTGATGCTTTCAAGGGGTTCACAGTTATTGGTGGGACTTTTCCGTTTGCCGGATCACAAATCCTCCAGCAAGCGGATCCGTTCTTCCTTTTTGCATTGCTGCACAAGTTGTGGGCCCAGTATGCGAGAGCCGGATCGTCCTTGTAGCTTCAGGGCACCTGCATGGTTCCGAACCACTCCTTGTACACACCACGTAGACGCTGGTGCATGATCTCCCACTTCACAAACTTCGTGACCCGCTATACGAATCCGATGGAATTCAGTCGTCGCACGCGTTCCTTAGAAAGGGTCTTGCCAAAGTATTTGGTGCGTTGCCGGTGCACCCAGATCCCGAGCTMGGGAAAGGACCGCGGTCGATCCGTTGTGTTGCTCTCTGCAATCGATGAGCGACCAGAAATGGTGCTCCCATCGCTGGGTGCTCGTCGGTGTAGCCTGCATCGTTGTCAAACTCACTGGACGCCCTATCGAAGCAGTTGCGGGGCTACTGCGGGCTTCGTTCGATCTGCTACAGTCGTCTACTCCGGTAGCTCGATCGCCTTTTGGGAGTTATGGTCCAAGAATTTACTAACACTTGAGTGYCTGTAGAAAATCTTCACAAAACTCTTGCACCAATCGCTCTCTGTGGGCTCTTCTGTTCATGGTTGCAAAAACGCGAACGCTTTCGAAAGGCACGAGGATTTACTTTCAAAAGTCAATGACCASAMCTCGGTCGGTGTATGTAAACGATCGTTTYTGAAAAATGTCGTTGTATTATTATTATGTATTGTATTGTTTCCTTGTCAAAAAGCTTGTATCATTAAGCATGGTGCACGAACMAAKTGTTTCACTCACAAAATAGAATGAATCAAATCGAGTCAATCAATCCTTCCTCGACTAGTAAACTTGTCGATAGATACAAAGCAGACCTATTCACTGATTTGCGGTTCGAATGAATGAAACGCACTCGTGTTTTGAAACAATACCCTCCGTACGGTGCGGTCGRATTAGCTGCCCGCCACTGCGCCGCTATGGCTCATCCCAGCGGAGGTTTAGATTGAGTWAATTGGACTCCCTGCTGTCCTTCTTGAAAAAATATATTGAAAGCTTAGAAGCATGCAATGCATCGTTTCCCAATACGTTTATTGAAACCAAGCATACTCCATGATGCACGAACCAACCTAGAAATTCGCGCGCTGAATGAATCATAAAACGGAAAAATAGTTCGGTCCATTCSTATCGCTCACKCACTRRCCGCGTCGATTGGAAGGAGTCGTGGACGCCGTGATCGAGATGCGATCMTCTTGCTCTGCTTCCGGCATCCCCTTCTTGCTGCCCTTKCCGGCAAGGTTTGCWACCTGCAGCCGGAAGCACAGCGCCGAAAARCCTTCCATCAGAACCTTGCACTGGTCCGCCGTCACCGAGGTAATGTCCACCGTCCTCTTCGGGAAGATCAGGGCAAAGGACTTGTGGGCATTCGCAGCCTCGCACTTTTGCCTCAGGATCGGTGTTCCGGTGTACATGGGRTTCTGCGGGTCGGGGCTCCACGCGTGGCGGACCTCTTCACAGGTGGTCAGGTCCAGCTTCGGAGGGCGCTTGGGGCTGTGCGGCTCGCCGGGAGCCGGCTTCCAGCTCAGGGACCGCCCATCGGGGTGGATGTGCAGGACGCGTAATCGCGACTTGCACCACCGCGATCGCCCGTGCTTCACGACGGTGATGCCCGATCGCAGCCGCGCCACAAAGCAACGCACGATAAAGTCCGACGCGTTGGTGCACCCGGTGGCGGGCTTAAAGGTGGGCAGGTACATTGGCATCCGGACCTCCTGCGTCTGTGTCGCCGTAGAMAGGGACTGGCCAGAGGAAATGTTRTTRAAGTCCCCGAGTCCCAGAGCATCGTTGGCATTGCTGGGATTGGCAGCGCTGGTGSGAGGGGGGTCCCTTCCGAGATGTTTGTCGTTTCCATCTTCCCCGGAGCTGTGGTTCTCTTCCATATATACGTCATCKCCKGCGTACAAAACATCGTTGATGTCGTCCGAAGATGAGTCGTCTTCCCTGACAAACGAGTCCTTSTTTTTGGGATCCACAGCGTTTTCAGTTTCGGGGGAAAGATCGGGTGGTTTCACCATCTCGGGCGTKTCAATTCCCTCTCCGGACGATGGCTGCTCGTCCATCAGCATGCTMGTGGTGGGTTCCTTTTTCCTGTTCTTCAGGTCTGGGACGAGCTCCGCCAGTGCGTTTAGATCATCGTCTTCATTTCTCCCCATGACCTTGTTCTCAAACGTTGCCGACGTCCCTCGTAGTACGCTGAGATCAAAATCCTCGTTCTGGTCACCCATGCCAACCGAATCGAATCGTTGATTGACTATTAATAGTTTGTTGGTGCTATTATTATTATTTATTGAAGAGAGCGTTGTACGTCGTTTACAACAGTCAAAACGGCACGGTGCCAGTTTCTTCGAAAAGACGTCCAAGGGACAAAGCAGGAAGGCAACAAGCTTGTGAGCCGATGCCTACAGAGAAGGTGGAAATGTTGTGCTGATCCCCTATGGGTCGGTAGGGTACAAGTACGAAGTGCCCTGGAAGGAAGGACAAATTCTTGAAGAGTACGGTGCGACTCTCAATATTTTTTTAGTAGCAYTACGAAGTGCACAAATTTAGTAGGTCACTTTGCACGATCTGGACAGCAAAAACGGCGGTTCAAAACGCTAGTTCAAACGAGCGAACSTGGTATGCAGAATTGGAGGGACAGAGGAAACATAAATGAACGATCGATTGTTTAAGAAATCAACATTTATCATACCGGCCGGTACCCAACCCCAACCCCATATACCTGCCATTAGCGCCCAGACCGTAGGCCATTTGGAGTTATGTAAATTGGAGTGATGTAAATCGGCACGTGTATGGTTTCTCATACCGGYGATATTTTACGAGGTGCTCTCCGGCGAGTAGGAAATGTGCGACACAAGTGGTTCGGTGGATGCGCGCGTGCATCTCCTCCGTCGCTCAAGCAACAAAGTCTTCGACTCGTTCGAATCAATCAAATCAAAAAAGCCGTTCGTTCGTTCGTGTTCAGAAGAAAAACCAAGAACAAATAACGCAGGGAGAAAGCAGCAACAAAACAAACTCGTTTCTTTGCCTAGCGATGCGATGGTACGTATGGTATGCGTCTTTCTCGAGACGGCCGTAGCAAACGCAAATACAGAGTATCGGCCATCACTCTCACAAGGCGCTCGACCCCCAGAAGGAGCAGACTTGCCCGCATGCATGTGATACATYGTCCGACACAAATTTACGTGCGGTCAAAATACGAAACAAGCAGTCGCTGAACGAATAAGCAGCGGCTGCTGTGCGACCCTATTTATTTCTTCTTACCTCTGATGGATAGATTGTTTGAAGCGCTGGATGCTGATCTGATGTTGATCTGATCTGGTCGGACAAGAAATACTGTATTCTGACGAGTTGCTTTTCGTGTCGCTTGAATTTCGCCTTCGAAGGCCAAAACCTGTGAGAGCTGGAGAGAGTTTTCTTCTGCTTCCAACGGACTTTTTCCGGGACAACAATTGTGCGCCTTCCGTCCTCTTCTTTTTTCCGGGCAAGTGAATAGAATCATACCWTACGTACGTATGCACTTTATGTACTATTGTAAGTAACTTGCAGAAGTAGTATTACTGTAAATACCGTACTAAATACAGTAGTAGAAGTAAGTGCTCTCCACTCATAGGGTACGTACCAGTACCGAACAGGTCGAATACATTTTTTATTGAGTACGTTGGTACTACCGGTATGAGCCGTATGTATTTTGAATGGAATCGTCTTGGCCAGACCATCATGGTTACTAGCAGACACCTCATGTTTAAAATCAAAACATTAGTGCTGGGTGGACATACTAGTATAAATAACAACAAGCTGCCCTCTTTCTTTTCCTCAATAGCAGCACATTATTCTTCCTCAACATAGTACTACTACTAGTAGTAGTAGTATGTTGAGGAAGAAGAATAATCTAGCTAATAGTAGTACTAGTAGTAGTAGTAAGATCCAGCAGCAAAATAATTTTCCAACCACGATCTATGACATGATGATGTGCTGGAGGAACAACAAGAACAACAAGAAGAAGAACAACAAACAGAGATGGTGATCATGGTGCAGCAAAACATAGTAATGTATGCCTAGTAATGGAATTTGGCTGGATGAAGGGATTTTTCTGTGCCTTTCAAGTTTTTGTTTCTTAGTAGAATTAGTAGTAATCCAAAAGAACAACCAAGCAAAAGAATGCACTTGTTTACTCAGGAAGTCTTGAAGGAGAGAAAGAATAAATTACTTTTGTAGATGCTCTAGAACAGGAACATCGTGTTAGAAAACATGGCCTCTTCTCAGAACTAGTAATAGTAGTAGAAGTACGAATGGGGAGTTTCGTTCACTATGGGATTATTGTTTTATCAGCTAAATCTATTTCTCGTTTGTTTCTTTTCTTACTTAGGCTTCGTCGACTTCCATTTTGTCTTCCTTTTTCTCTCCGGGCTCATCGGTTTCCATGGGAGCTGGTTCGGCAGACTTGTCGGCTGCGGGTGCGTCGGCAGCAGGCTTGGGTTCTTCCTTGGGGGCTTCGACCTTTGGCTTTGGCTTGGGTTTGTGGACAATGGGACTGCAAACGTTTGACAGTCCCTTGTTCTTGGTGTTCGCCTCGGCGGCAGTGAATGCCGGGTCGACGTTTTGGGCTAGCGAACCCTGCTTGTCCAGCATCTCGTACACCCAGTTCGAGACTTCGTCGCACTTTTTGTGACACGTGCTGAATTCTTCCTCCGTAATGTGGGCAAAGTCATCGTTCGCTTGTGCGTCCGCCAACCACTTCTTGTATTTTTCAACGTTCTTCTGGAGCGAAGCAACGGCGATCGGTCGGGCCTGCGCTTCTTCGGCACGCTTTTCTACGGGACCACCAAGCTTTTTCAACTCGCCCAATTTCTGGGCGAGGACGTCCTTTTGGGCGTCGAAACCATCTTCGTAAAGCCAATTTTCCGTGTCCTCGTTCTTCTTTACGAACGCATCCTTTTCGGCCTGGGTAGCATAGGCCCCGAGACTGGAATCCATAGTAATCTTGTCGCGCATGTCGTAAATGTAAGATTCGAGCTCGTTTCGCATATCGGAGGTTTCCTGCACGATTCGGTCCGTATTCCTCAATGCTGTTTCTGTCTGAGTGAATTTYGTAATCTCGGCATCCGTCCATTCCAATGGTTTTGTTTCCGTGTAGTCCAAATTGGTTCTCTTGACCTTTTTCTTCTTTTCTGCAGGGGCTTCTCCCTCCTTGGCTTCTTCGCCTGCCTTGGCTTCCTCCTTGGCGGGAGGGGCTTCTTCTTCTTCGATTTCTTCGACCATTTGTGCGGAACTCATTTGAACAATGCCGTGAATGTCCTGCTTGACATTGACACGGATTTTCTTTTCTTCCCCGGCGGGTGCCTTGATGGACCAGTTGCAAATTTGCTGCGTGGAGCCGGCGTCCAACCCGTAATTCGTGGCAGATGCGTCGTAGCTGCTGCTGACCTTGAATTCTCCGTCDCGGCGGAGTGTGACGCGTCGGACGATAGGGAAGTTGAGTCCCCGGGTGAACATGACTACCGAATTGGCGGGCGTGTCCGTTCCGTCGGCAGCGACTTCCATGCCTTGGTCCTTGTCTTCGTCCCAGGCAAGCTTGACGGGAAGACTTCCGTACTCGACAATTTCGTAGGGCAAGACCTTGAAGCGGGGGGACAGAATGGCCGATTGCAGTGCCGCACCACGAGAGACCGACTCGTCGGCATTCATGGTGGTGGAGAGGGTCTCGATTCCCAAAATCTCTTGCAACTTTTTCTTCAGGAATCCGATGCGGGTGCTTCCACCAACGATTTCTACGGAAGACAAATCCGCGGTCGTCAATTTGGCCTCTTCCAGAGTTTTCTTGATGGGTGCTTCCAACTTGGAAAGGAGCGGAGCACTCATTTCCTCGTAATCCGTCTTCTTGAACATAATGTTAAAGTCCAGGTCTTCCATCAGGCATTCCAGGTTGATGGAAGCCTCCTTGACACCCTGTGGACTGAGGGTCTTCTTTGCTTTCTCCGCTGCGGCCAAAATCTTGAGCATGACCTTGGGCTTCGACTGCGGGGCGCACGAGAGCTTCTTTCCGTACTTCTCTACAAATTTCTCGGCGATCCAGTTTCCAATCACATCGTCGAAATCCCTTCCTCCAACGCTGTCGTCGCTGTTGCAAGATTTGATGGTGAGTTTGCCGGGCTCGAACGCCGCAATCGTCACCGTGTACGCGGAAGCTCCCATGTCGATGAACATSACGTTGGTTGGCTTTTCCTTAGTGAATTCTTTGCGAATGTCCTTGAAAATACCGTAGGCCAGTGCGGTGGCCGTGTTTTCGTGCATCAGGCGCTGAACTCCCGGAATCCCAACGATTTTGCATCCGTTCAGGACTGCCCGTCTCTGGGCATCGGTATAGTAGGGAGGAATGGCAATGACCCAGTCCTGTGGGAACAACGCCGCTACGTCCGTGACATTGCTTCCCGATGCCTCCGAGGCCTTCTTGGCGGCGATCATTCCCATGTGGTGCACGATCATTCCCAGGACCTGTTCGATGGGAATGATGGTGTCCTCCCCTTCGCTGTTCGTCACCTTGACGGCAACCGAGGGAGGTCCCCCAGAAGCATGAGGGATAGGAACGCATTCGTAGGGAACTCGTTTCATTTCCTTTTGCGCCCGCGGATCGTCAAAGGCAAGGCCCACGAGGCGCTTCATGTTTCTGATGCAGGTTTTGAATTTCGAGATCGACGTCGATCCGGCGACCTGCTCCCCCATTTTGCGTGAGTCGTCGAAATTGACCATGGCCCTAACAACACATTACATTATAATTTCAATATTATTGCAACGCCATTTTTTTTGTATYACAACGCGTTGGTCGAAAGTTAGCGAAACAACGAGAAAAGGCAGGTCGGGTTAGAATTGAACACAAGCGATATTTGGTTTCCCACGAGGAGCAGAATGAAAGGCATCGAAGATTCAAGAAGAACTAAAAATTGGACACCGGATAGATTCTTTCAAATACCCAAACAAACCTTGTCAATCAAAAACAAAAAACTTACGGGTTGAGACGGTTGGAGTTACCATTGAGAATGACGTCCACTCCACCACGACCGGCAGCCGCGATCACACAGTTCTGAAGTCCTATATCGAGGCCAACAACGCTCATTTTGAATTACGATAGTTTTGTTTTTGTTATCTTTTAATGACAATGGGTGTGATCAACGATTGGAASTTTCGTATCGTCTGATTGGGCAAAGTTCTGTTGTGAACGGAGGGAGGCAACGAGTGTTGTTTGGCATTTGTCCATACAGGATTAAAACCGCGCACTAGTAGTGCATGGCAGTCATTGAAATTTAGAAAACAGTAGTTGGGTCCTCGTCGCCACTCGATCCCTTCTCTTTCGAAATCTAAAAAACGACCAGTATTTTTTCCTTTGGGATCAGAGCGCATCGGAGATGATCAGGCAATGCGACACACTCTTCGAAACGGTCAGAAGAGGTATTTTTGTAAGGAATTCTACTTACTGTAAGGCACGGTAAAGCAGTACTCGTACTTACTATTACTGTACCGTACGTACTTGGTATGTATCCTGTGCTGATCGTGCGTACGGTGTACGGTGCGACCTAGGGTTCACGTTTTGCGTTTTGCTCATGGTGTGTGACATCATCACATTCGTATGCTGTTCATGGTCGTACGTTACGTACCCGTGTCTGTCTGTAGGAGCATGTATGTTCATATTCATCCACCTACATAYAAATACCTATGAGACCGTAGCAGTCTCATTCAGTGACGGTTTCGAAAACAACAAGGGTTTCTGTTCTGTCTGTTTGTCTTTTTGTTGAAGATTTTTCCCCTGCGACGGCATGCGAGTGTCAACCAAAGAACAGCTGTCTTTGTTTTGCTCTTCCGCTGCGACCATSATCCTTGCATCGAGCCAGAGACCAATTCTACCAAACACCACCAAAACAAAGCACAGCTCTGCCGGTCCGTCCCCGAGAAGAGAACAATGAAGAGCCTCCGCAGCTGCGCAACACCGGTGTATTTCTGCCTCGCAATCGCGTGCTGGCATGATTGTGTCGCCCCCGTAGTCTCTCTGTCGCAGTCTTCCCTCTTCGGAAAGACGACCCGAAACATCGCGACGCAGGTCCTCCAGGGCACCGGAGAACCCACCGTGGACCTCAATCGATACAACCTGCCCCTGCCGGTGATAGAAGCGGGGTGGACCGCGAGGTTTGTCCAGAAACCTACCGAAAACGAGGGCAGGGTCCGGCTCGAAGCCAAGAACAACACCGCCCACTACGTCGACAGCATTCTTATCACGGTTCCCCGGAGCGAAGACAACGGGGGTGGCCTCGGGATCGAACTGGTGGAGCTGGCGGGTGGCCGGAGCGACGGGATCGGCATCACGACTGTTTCGGGGGTGGTGGAGGGCGGACCCGCGGAAGGAGCCGGTCTCAACCCCGGCGACGTTCTCTCGTCCGTCTCCCTGGTGCGCCGGCGGAGGCGAACCCCACAGCAACAAAAGGCCGCGATTTCGGAGGAGGAAGAAGAATTTTCCGTGTCGACCGAGTGCCTGGCCTACGACGGGACGGTCGAGGCGATCGGGAGAACGATTCCCCCGCTCGACAGCAAGTACGAAGACGTCTTTGTCCTGACCGTCAAGCGCCTCCGCCGCCTGCCCAGGGTCAGGGTCCGCCTCCAGTACCCCCCCGAGCAGAACGAGCCCGACACCACCATCGAGATGTTCGCGGGCGAGAACCTGCGCCAGGGGATGCTCATCCGGGGCGTCAAGCTGAACGACCCACTCGCCAGGCGGTTCGACACCAAGTCGGAGGGAAACTGCGGGGCCGGCGGGCTCTGCCGGACCTGCAGCGTCTGCGTGGTGCAGGGGGCCGACGTTCTGAACCCCCAGCGCGTGGCGGAGCAGCAGATGATGCAGGACAGCCCGCGGTGGCGGCTGGCGTGCAAGGCCGTGGTGGGCTACGGGATGCAAGAGGGCGAAATGATCGTCCGGGTCAATCCGAACCAGTGGTAGCCGGGAGCAACCGGATCGGCGGGAAGCGCGGGGCCGCGCAATGCAACGCAACGCAACGCGACTGCCACATTCCGCGGATCGAGAACCTGCGGCGCGTCTCTTGGCGCGTTCGTAGATCGTTCTCGCCAAGCGAGCGGTGCCATTTTGAAACGGGTGCACCGGGCTTTTCAACGTGGATTTCGGCTCCATCCGAACAAAATAGCAGAGACGCTGCGCTTTCATGGCAAGGTACGAGTCACTTGCGCATTGAAATTTTTTAAATACCAATATATTGCTTAATAATTGAACTCTGAATGCCACCGGTGCCTGCAATAAAAGATACTAGTGCGTAATTTTCCACTCATACATGCTCGGGAGAGAGGCGCCAACTTTGTCGGAAGATAATTCTTCTCGACATGGACATGGACCTAAAGGGCGTTTTGTTACGGTTGGTGCCAGAATCCAACAGATTTACMAACGCTCCAAAGGCTCTCAGCGTCTAGGTTAAAAGAATCAGACAAGTGGTGGGAGGAGAGCTTCCTTTGTTCTTCCTGTTCTTGCCCTAGTACTCCTCATCATCTTTTCCAAAATACCACTACTAGTACGACTGTTATCTCCTCCTCTCCTTGGTACTACTAGTACTAGTCGTATGCATCAAATTTCTTGACCCTTTTGTCTTKATGGAAAGAGTATTTCTTTTACAGSTTGGAAAGCACCATGTCACCCAAGAACTTTTTGCAATCATAATAACGGTAGTACTCGTACCGTAGATGGACCAATACCAATACGCGACGGAACGTATGGTACAAAGATGTGAAGCGTACGGTACTACGTACCATGGTCTGGCTCCGAAGCAAACCAAAATTCGGCTGGCGGAAGGACGAGTCACGCCACATACCGTTTTTCYGGTCTGATCGTACCGTACGGTACGTTATCAAACGCGTTCAACGTGGAAGAAACGTGGACGCAGGTTACGTGAACCCCCATCGACTTTCGAAAGAAACAAAGCGGTCCGTTGCATCGCATCGGCCAAAGAAAGGTATTTGTAACCCGCTGTCGCTCTCTCCCTCTYTGTCTCYTGTTCCCAACGAAACACTTCTCGGTAAAAATCCTTCCGCACAAGGACAGCAGTACGACTACAGTTTTATCACACTTGCAAACYGTATCAACACTACTAAAATGGGCCGCGGCAAAGAATCGAAAGCTAAGCGCAAAGCCGCCAAGAAGGAAGCGGCGGCGAACGACGACCGGGTTGCCGGTGGCTCGACCGAGGAGCTGAAGGACAACGGGGCCATGGACGACTYCACCAGCATACCTCTTCCTCCCGGTATGATGGCGGGCAGCAAAGGGGATGACGACAGCGACGACAGCTCGGAAGGCAGCGGCGAGCGAAACGACGCCGAGGAATTGCTGATGATCCGAAAGAAGAAGGCCAAGCAATCCTCGTGCTGCAACGACGACAACTGCGCCCCGCCGCCCAAGAAGTCCGCCAGCTCGCAGGGCATCAAGACCACGCCACTGATTCTCCTGGTGCTGATGGTAGGTACCTCGTGTCTTCCCGCCTTGATCTACCTCAACGACTACATCGGGGGGTACCTCGCAAAGAACAACGTGATCGGACAAATCGGCTTTCGCCTCGGCATGGGCCAGGTCCCCAAGAAGCGCGTCCTGAGTTTCTACGAAAAACACGACCCGGAGAAGATCAACGAGGTCCCAAAGATTCTCGGCAAGTATTACGGGGACTACCCGAAGCTCGTCAAGAGACTCGAGCGCAAGTACCAGGACTACGGGTATTTCCTCGGCTGGGAGGAGGACGAGGCTCCGATGGCGCTGGCAAAGGAACAGCTCCAGGAAACGTACAGCCTCTGGATCAAYAGCTACTGGAACGTGTATGCTCCCCAGCAGGCAAAAACCGCGGCGCGCAACATACGATACAACCTGACGTTCTTGCACAAGAAGTTCTACAAGTTGTTTTGGAAGAAGATCTGGCCCCACCTGGAGCCCKTCCTCGGTGTTCCCGCCGGAACCGAAAAGCAGAAGCGCAAGGACCGGGCGGACGCCCAGAAGCGCAGGGGTGGACAAAGCGGCAGCCGTACTTCCGGAAAGAAAAAATACCGCGACGACGTCGAAGAATAAGGCAGCAGGCCAACATATTACACACATTGGTGTCGGTGCAGCGACCACTCGTGCGGTCGTTGCCAAACCAAAATCTCGAGGCCCGGAAAACAAAACGACACAAACCTCGAGAATGAACTACACTCCTCCGAATTTAACGAATCAAACTGAGTCGAACCCGAATAATTGCATTTGATTAATCCTATTAGCTTTTTCTTTATTCAACACGGTATACTTTGGAATGAATGCATCGAAAAGCATATGTGCCATGTGCTGGGGTCAACGACGGTAAAAGATTCTGCCCCKATCTCTCTTCTTGGCATTCTACGCAAGTAGCAGTCTGATAGGGATGCGGTAAATCAGCGTTTGACAAGCAGAAATCTACTTGGAACCAAAATATTTTGTGAACGGCCTGCCTGGTGTTTGACCAAATTCTGTTCAAAGCACCCACCAGGTCTAACAATAATGTTCAAAACTTGCAACCAAATCGAACAGTGGAAAGACTCTTCACCAAGTGTCCTTCCGAACTTTCATTCTCTCGATCGGAATCTTGCTGSAAACGAAAGAGAGTCCGGCAGACGAATCGGCTTTGTGATTGCAACTATAAGGAATGCCACTACAGACTTTGGTACCACTGCTACTTGCAAATTCATGTCATGAAAGATCGTCTTCAATTCGTTTGTCACAAGACAATGATCCAATATACGCAAGTATTAGTTGAACAACAAGAAGGTGCACCGATTTATACCTGCTCAAAATACTACTCGTAGAGAGCTTTGCACAGGAGCAGAACAGATTCCTCTACGGATCCGAGGAATGGTTTACTCCTCTTCCCTCTCGTTCTTTTGTATCACCACCACCAGCGATGCCATTTATGTGTTGAGCAGCTTCTCCACCTCTTTGGTAAGAAAAACTATGAAACAAGAGTACTAGAAGAGAACAATTATTTCTGACTGGCTTTCAAGAATGATAATAATAATTATTTCTCACTGGCTTTCAAGAATAATAACGGTTTGCTTTCAATTTCAGTCTTAGTAATTCTGTTTAGTATCGCTACTCTTACTAGTTGTAGTAGTAATAGGTCATCACTTTCTTTCGGCACAATTCACTACTGTACGTAATACAATGCAGTAGATTTGATTTTGTGAGAACGATCAAGATATTTTCCTTCAGACGGAAAAACGAAAAACGCGCTCGTTTCAAAAATTTCTCGTGACGATTTCGTTCAACAACGGGCAGTACGAGGATTTACGGTGTGTCTCGTACACGAGCACGAAAAATCGAAAGAAAGGATCCTAGTGTCCCCATCACTACTTTTTGGAAACTCATCATTCGAAAGTGGACAACGACGAGCAGCTGTTTTCGGCAACAACGTACAATCCCATCGGCCGTTGAGAGGTCCTTCGAAGCACGCACACATTCCGGTTTATTTACCCTCGGAACAATGCCGGAGGATGGCAACGCCAACGACAGAAAAACAACACCAGCGAATGATTCACGTCCCGGCAACAACTCCGAGGTAGCAGTGGTTTTGCTGTCCGGACTCCCCGCTAGCGGAAAAAGCACCCTTGCGAAGAGCCTGGAGGCGCGGTATAATCGTTGTGCCGGAGATGCCGACGAGCCCGGTCGCCGGCTGATTCACATCGAGTACGACGAGCTGGAAGATTCCCTTCTCCCTCCGAACGGAGACGCGGAAGAAAGCAACGACACCGCGAGCCGGCGACGAGATGCGTGGAACCGAGCCAGAGAAAGCGCTTTGGAACGGATGGAGCGAGAGCTCCGCACCCTGGGGAACGAGAGAGGCTTGCCTCCATCGCCTCTGCCACCCGATGGCTCGGGCGGCGCTCTTGCGAGCCACGTCGTCCTCATGGACGACAACTTTCACCTCCGGGGGATGAGAAAACAAATCCATCGCCTGCTCCTCGGATACCGACCGATCCGGTTCGGAATCCTCCACCTCGACACGCCCCTGGAAGTCTGCCTCGAACGGAACCGCAATCGATCGGGGAGGCGAAGGGTTCCCGACGACGTGATTGTCAAAATGGCAACGGTTCTGGAACCCCCGAGAGCGGCGTGGGAGGCGGGTTCGGCAATGACCATCGTTGGTGGTAGCGGCGAGGATCCAGGGGAAGGCAAGACACTGGAGGACATTGTCCGTTTCCTGGAGCAGTGCCCGGCCATCGTCGAGGTTCCCCCGGAAGCCCCGATCGATCCAGAGCAACTGGCCGCCGATCGCGCCAGAACCCGGGAGAGCCGGGTCCACAACCTGGACAGGCTGCTGCGGGCGTGCGTCGGGACCGTGGCRAGGTTCGACAAGAGGCGCGCCGGTGCGGCGAACGCCGCGAGGAAGAAGCTCATGGAGGACTTCAGGGCGGGTTGCATCGACTTTGCGACGGTCGACAGCGGGGACGGGGGCGTCGCGGATGCCTTTCTGGACCTGGTCGTTCCGATGGAGCCTCCGGATGCGAACACGAATGCAAACACCGCGGATGCGGATAGTACGAATCCGGAAGAATATGGTTCCGATGCTCACGCTCCGTCTACAAAGAGGTCGCAACTCGGGGAACTCTTGAACGAAATCAAAATACAATAAACTAGTATTCTTTTGGATTTAACTGCCTTTGCCGCAACGTGTTGCGGGATTTCGTTGTTTGCCTTCTTGGTTTCGGTAGAGCAGCGAGAGCATGGCTTGTAGGCCCGTGCTCGTCGGACAAGACCGCGCTTGGTCTTTGATGGGTGTGCCGGCACGTTCTCTTGACGAAGAGTGGTTTAGTTTTGCGCCTTGTGCCACGCCACCACCTCGTCGTAGCTGAGGCTCCCACCGAAACAATCCAGGGCGCTCCCGACGGTTGCGTCGACCTTGTCCCTGCCCAGCTTCTTGACGAGTTCCAGGTCTTCGATCGATCGGACCCCGCCGGCGTAGGTCACGGGGATCGTGGAATGCTCCCCCAGCAGCTCCACGAGGTCGGTGAGAATCCCGCACTGCATGCCCTCCACGTCGACGCCGTGGACCAGGAACTCGTCGCAGTAGGCGGCCAGCTCCCTCAGGTTTTCCGGGTTGACCTTGTAGTCCGTGAAGGATTGCCACCGGTCCGTCACGACGTAGTACGAGTCGTCGGTGCTGTTGGGTTTCCTCCGGCAGCTGAGGTCCAGCACCAGGCGCTCCTTCCCGCAGATTTCCACCAGCTTTTTCAGGCGCTCCATGTGGATCTTTCCCTTGGAAAAGACGTGCGACGTGACGATGACGTGCGAGGCACCGGCCTCGAGCCACGACAGGGCGTTCGTGTCGTTGATYCCCCCGCCGATCTGGAGCCCCCCCGGGTAGGCTCCCAGGGCGCTCGAGGCGGCCTCCTCGTTGCCGGGGCCCAGCTTGATCACGTGGCCCCCCGTCAGGGCATCGCGGTCGTACATTTTGGCGTAGTCCGCCGCGGGCCGGTCGGTCTCGAAATTCGTGTTGAGGGCCGAGGCGGCCTCCTTGGTCTTGTCCTCGTCGCCCTCGGTGGCGTCCTTCAGCGTCGATCCAACGATCTGTTTGACCTGGCCGTTGTGCAGGTCGATGCAGGGACGAAACTTCATGGTGGTGTTCGTGTGTGTTGTGGTTGTGGTTGTAGTTGTAGTTTCCTACCGCTGTTGGATTTGTTCCTTATTGCAGGACAAAAACGAGTTCACAACCTTTCTAGTTTTGACGTCCGGTGATAGCACGAGTGCGATACTCGTATTGGTATTTGTACTCGTTTCGTACCAGACGGAAGCGGCAATAATCTCATCGTCACGACGTCGTGCCGAGATGCTGTAGTTTTTSGTTTTCGACGACGACTGCAAAAAACCGAGGACCTTCGTGTTCGTATACTTCCACGTGGAAGCGTAGCGGTTGTGACGACGGTGATGGGTCAAAACTCAAAACGAGCAAAACATTTTTCTTCGATTTTCTGCCGCCACCAATTTCACGAACAGCGCTGATTGCCCGATTACGTACGGTACGGCATCGTACGTGCTCGMCGAGCTGGTTCGTACGATACGGTACATACCGTACTATCGCAGKAAATTCATTTGTCGTGGATACTGYACGAACTAGTTGCAAGTGATTCACTTTTTCCACCGCAGTCTCACAGTGGTTCGGGAATTGCCTTTCTGCTCCGGGCAACGATCCTGAAACGAACAACAATATYCCAAGGGTGTGTTCATTCCGTATCATTCCTTGAAAGCAGSGAAAATACAATGGCGAATCGGAAAACCATGTCGAAACAGTCGGCTTTGTTCTGCGTGKTGATGGCTTCCTGTGCCTTGCTGGCGGAAGGATTTCTTCCTTGGTGTCCCGCCAAGCAGGCTTCGACGACCCAAACAGCGAMAACGACAACACCTGTCGCTTCCAAGGTCGCGTTGTCCTTGCTGGGTTCGAACAACGGCGAGGTCGGAAAGGGAGACAACTGGCTCGAAAAATCCTTCCCGGTCGGCACCGACGAAAAAATCAGCCCGAAATCCATCGAAGACTACAACGTCGGGGTTTCGGGAAGGGATTTCCAGACGGGGCCGCTGAGCAAGCGGATGTACGACGCCATTTCTTCCATGAACAACCAGATGGAGATGAGCGACGAAATCAGGCAGGCCTTCCACCTGTACGCGATGGACTTTACGGCCAAGGAGGCAACGGGGGCGGCCCTGAGACAGAACGGATTGCAGATGATGCTCATGGAAGAGGAAGAAGACCAGGGGATGTGGGGGGACGTCGAGGCGGTCCGCCTCTACGACAGCTCTGAGAAACCTGGCAGCAAACTCTACGACTCGCTGGAAGAAGCGATCGTGGACTGGACGCCCGGGCAGACCTTTGACTTCGTGGTCCGCCAGGTTCCGGCAAAGATGAGGGAGCTCAGCGTCGACGAGCTGGTRCAGGCCCTGGACCCGGAGGGCAAGCTGCGCGAGGAGGCCAAGGAACGCCGGGGCGACGACGAGGGGGAGCCGGACGAGGAGGCCCTCCTATCGATCATCGACGACGGGATGACGTCCCTTTCGGACCTCGCCAGCGACAACGTCCGGAGGGTGGAGGAGGCACCCCGGGGATCGACGGATGCSGAGAACGCGTACGGCGGGGCCGATTCCAGGGGGTACCGCGTCATCAAGCGGAGCGACCTGTCGCGGGATTCCATCAACGACGACGGGACCGAAAACGACCAGAGTAAGTATTGTTTGGAARCATTCTCTCGCTGTTCTGGGTGGATTSGCGTACCTTTGTGGTTTGCTCTGACGACAAACCGCCAACCTTTTGTTTCTTCTTCATTGCACCAGCCGTCCTTCACGTTATGAATGCGTTGGTGGCGCACGGAGTCCTGCTCGTCGATCTCACCGATGGAGGTGCTTCCTTCAAGGACGCGGAGGTGATGAGCCGCATGTGGAAGACRGCGGACGAGTTCTTYGAAAAGGCTTCGGATCCGGCCGTGGCCGAGGGTCTCCCAGGCATGACCACGGTCATGGAGACGGGATCCCAGCACGCCATGGTGGGCTACAGCGARTACGACTCGGGTTCCATGAAGTTTCTCGAGACGCGGCGGGAACGAKCCAGCGGGACCATCCTYCCCGAGAAAACCAGGGACGTCGTGGGAGAGGACGGAATCTCGGCGCTGAGATCCTCCTTCGACCTCATCGCCCAGGCAGGAAAGGACGTCGTCCGGATCGCGGTGGCCGCGAGCAGCGTGGAGAACGGGGCCTTYTTCGACTCGGACGCCGAAGACGAGGAGGCAGCCGAGCGCGACCAGATGATCCGGGCGTCCCAGGGAGCCACGCTGCTGGCCAACGAGCTCGTSGACGACGGAAAGCCCCTCCCGTCGGGGGTCCAAATCGACCACTCGGAGGGCAAGGCATCGATGAGCCCCTATCGGCTCTGCCGGTACACCGACGCCAGGGAGGAAACCGGCAGCTCCCGCGAGGTATTTGGCGCCCACACGGATACGTCCTTCGTCACCGCCGTTCCCGTAGCGGAAATCAGCGGCCTGGAGGTCTACGACGAGGCCGCGGAGAAGTGGTACCGACCGGARMTCCGGGCCAGGAGGCACTGGGAGGAAGAGCAGGCCGCACTGGGAAGGGATCCCTCCCTCCAGTACGACGAAACGAGCGACGGCACCCAGATCCCGTGGCACTCTCGCTACCTGGCCATCATGCCCGGCGAGAACCTGCAGCTCGCGACGCGGAACGAGATCCCGGCCGCGATMCACCGGGTGGTCGCCGTCAAGGGCGGTCCAGCACGGGTGAGCGCACCSGTCCTGCTGCGCGGGAGGCCGGGGACCAAGTTCCTGACCGACCGGTACATCGGGGGCTGGCTTGGAGACCAGCTCATACTGGACGCCGACGGCCTGTCGATGGAGGAGATTCACGAGAAAAACCAGCCACAATCCTTTCAATGATAGATGCTTCGTTGCACTGTGTGCTCGTTTGTAGAAACTTAGCTGGCCTTGGGCTCATGCGTATGCGTACTCATGTTTATATTTGTATCTCCTAGACGCTAGTACAGTGCATACAATCAAAAACGAATTGTTTCACAAGGCTGCMGCAGATCAACCTATGAGCCAAAAAATCTCAATATTGCATTKAACCTCGTGAACTAGAAGAGGCACTATATGGCCAGAACCATAACTTCTGGGGARAAGAATGTTCCTAGCTGTTCCAAGGGGCGGCGCCTCCCTCCGAGGAGTGGTTGTARAGGCGCGACCGCAGATCAATCTATGAACAACTCATCGTGTTTTGCATGATCTGTTGACGTGACGAAATTAGAGCACAGGATGCCCAAATGCTACTTCCGAAAACATTACAAATTGATTCGCGGGAGGCGTAGTCGTGCAATCTAACTCCAATGAATTCCTCAGGCTAAAGTTTTTTTTCTTAATATACACGTAGCTTCAATGGGTGGGCGTATATTATAATAATTGTTGCTATTTGGAATCGAAGGAAGGGCAAACAATAGCAAAAAAGCGAAAACCTCGTTGCCTTCCAATCTATGTTTCCCGGTTGCCAAAAATAACTCCCGACCTGTTGCTGCTTCTTCTGCATCGTTTCCGACTGCCGCTTGTTCTCATACGCTGCATTACTCTCTGACCAAGGTCGCGTCTTATGACATCCATATCATGATTCAACATCATGTCGAGAGCTCGTTTGGATGCCATATGTTCTCCATAAGCATACTCGTCGGCACTGTATTCRTTTATGCAATCTTCATCATGCTGGTCTCTTCTTTCTCGGCGTCTCTTGTCGCGCTCGAGCGCTCTATTATATATGTCCTTCCTGTCCAAATCAAGGAAATCTAGATTGYGCAGTTCGGAGCTCACACGYTTGACGCCTTTKGTCTTTTCCCAGTGGGTCAAAATCTCCTGTGTGCTTTGCAACAGAGTGGGGACAATCATCGATCTCTCTTCTTCCAAKGCCTTCCTGAAAAAGCTTGATCGMCCGATTTCAGAAACGCCTCTCGGGCCACGTCTCAGAATCACCACCATCGCGGCCCGTCGAAGACGCGGCARATCATTTCCAGAAATGCTTTTCTGCATAGCAGACATCGTGAGGGCCTCAACAACGTTACTTGATGATGTGAGAAGCGCAGCACTCACTTCACACATAAGTGATAATCGATGCATGCCTGCCTCCTCGGCTAGTTTTATCGCAGCCAGCGCGACGGAAAATGGYACRACCGGCATACCATTGTTTGGCCATCGTTTCGCGCTAGAATGGTTTGGATGGACCGGTCCATTGTGCTTTGTTGGTCTCGTTTTGCAAGCTTGGACAAATGCGTCGTGACCCAACGCCACAACTCGGTTCGTGTAGCAATACTCCAGGAGAATTTTAACAGCTTCTGGAGAATGGTCCTTAATAACGACTGTCAACACACTTGCCTCCGCTCGTGATTGCAATTGATGACGAGACGATGAAACTACATTATCGGCATCGTCGTCGTCGTCGTCGTCGTCGTCGTCGTCGTCAACTCTAATCACGTTTACCTTTCCGTCGTCTGAGGAAACATCTACCATATTGATCTGAGCGGGTGCACTGATACCTTCTTCGACATGTCCAATTTCTTTTTCGGYATCGTCRTTGGCAGCACATTTAATTGTGCAATCACCGTTTTCGGCCTCTTCGTCGTTTTCGATTTCGGCGGCACGCATTTGTGAATGGTCTGGCGTTTCGGATTTTTGTGCATTTTCTCGCTCGAGTGCTTCCCGTTTCGCTTTTTGCCGTGCCTGTAGAATAATTGCCATCAACCACGGGCACCTCTTGCCGATAAAAGACGAGTGGGCTCGGACGGTAGTGCTCAAGAGTCTCTGGTTGCGCCCGTTTTTGTCCACGAGCTTTCCCTGACAGTCCAATATGACATCTGCAATTCTTGCTGGACAAGATTCGGGTAGCAAGTGCCGCATCTGACGRAAGTATTCGCGATCGGCATCTCTCAAGAGTCTTTTCTGCTCGGCTTCTTTTGCTCGCTCGGTTGCCCTATTATTTCTAACCTTTATTCGATCATTCTTCATTAGTGCACTAGTTTCGGCTGTATCGTTCTCGTTCAAGAGTTGACAAAAGGCAAAMTCCAGATCTCGYGTGCTGATAGTCGGATAAACTGMGGTTTCCCCGTCCCCCTCGACAAATTTGTTGCAATAGTCGACGTATCTCTGGAAGACGGCCCTGAGTTTTGTGGTTTTGTCTAGACCGATGGATACCGTGACACCTGGCCGCATCACCGGATGGTCCGGAGCCCGAGCAATSGGTTCTTCGCAGTGAATATAAAGCAGCTATGGTACAATATTGATTCAGTGGCGGACGACAGAACAGAGAGAAAACCCAACAACGTTAGATTAGATTGTGAGGGGATTGCCAATTTTTCCAAGAACGGCTTGATCGTTGAAAATCTCACTGCGTAGATATTCTACGGAGAACTACGTGACAAATTATGTGTCTAGTCGTGCTGCTTACCAAATCGCAGTTCTCCGAGAGTTTTTTGGCCTTCGAGGCGTCGTCTTCTGAATTCACGGCGACACCTCCATCAAGGACACGGTTGTCGCCGTCTCCGTCACCATCTCCTTCTTCTATGTCGACATCGACGTGAACCATCAMGTTATTATTRTTGTTGTTGTCGTCGTTGTTATTGTTGTTTTCGTTTTCGTTTTCCCCAGCCTCATCGCCTAAATCGATTTGGTTGTCRTTGTTATTGTTGTTATCGTCCGCGATGTTGTCCTCGGCGGCTGCAGCATTGCCATTCCCATCGTTGTTTGCCTCCATCTTGCTCACAAGACTAAGAAATGCACTCCGATCGTCTACTATGATGATAGGAATACTCCACGGGTATCGTTGCACTAGAGCGAGAAGGAGATARTAAACAAAAGAACGGAGCAGCTACGAACCTCCCACAGTTTCTATTCCTAGTATTGTACAGTACCGTACAGTTATGTCACGTACCGTCATTTTCAACGGTGCAGCGCAGCACGCTATCTACCGAGACAAACTGCGCAACGAAAACGTCAAAAATACTTCGTACGGAGTTCATACGCAGGGAGAACACAACGAAATGCTTTTGAGACTTCTTCAGTCGTTTGCAGATGTTCCTTCAAACGTTTCTGGGTTTGCCGGCGGAATTTTCAAAAAATGTGTATCACGAGTGTCAATGACTGAAAAACCTTGCGGTGCGGTATAAAAGAATTTTCGTAGTCAGACGCCTTACCGTTGGGCCAAAGGGTCACATGAAACCCTCCCGGGAATCGAACCCGGAATCTTCTGATTCACTACTGTGCATCGGTTTCAATTTTTAAATTTATAAACATATCAAAAGACAACGAATGAATGTTGTGGTACGTACGACTACTGTCGCAGGTMAATGAAACGACTACAAGCTACCATCAATGATTACAAGTATCTGAGCCATAAATTTTATTGCAGTTGTCTGAATCGATGATGGSTTTTTGTGAATGAGATACGAATGGGTCTAATTTTGAAGGGAAGGGAGGTACGTAGGGTGACGAAGTTTGTTTCTGTGAAGTTAGCATGGTATTGTTTAAAAAATAGTTACATATTGGYAGAATGGCTTTTCTCAAGTAGCCACACACAAAATTTATTAGCTCATGTCACCGTGCAAGGGATTAACATGACTTTCCAAAATCTGGGGATAACGTAGGATTGTGCATGCGATACCAATTGTACATGGAATCAACGCCGGCGATGTCAACGCGGGCACTCCATTCTTCTACTATCATGCTTTCTGAGCCATAATCATTGTACAAGGGCACTGGTTCCTCGTGTTCAATCATATCAGCGCAGTCATCCTCAAAATCCATATTATCGAGGTAGGCGTTAAAATGGTCCATATACTTCGCGCTTGCCTTGTCGTCRTCGTTCGAAGGAGGGTCACTAAAACTGTCTGTGCTGTCCCCATCCTGATCGGTCTCCACATTGATCTTCGTTCTATTCCTTATCAGTTGATCCATTTCTTGAAGGAACATCCACCAGTCTACGCTGACCGTCATTTTCATATTTTCGACAGCATCTACTACCTTCGCCGAAGAATCTAACGCGTCCTTCATTTCCCGATTGCCATCGTTGGCTTTTTGCCGATCTGATCGGATTTTATGATTTGYTATCGCATCTGCGAATCGAACCTCTGCGTCTTGAAACATAATTCTTCGCTGCTCCTCGAARCGAGATTTATCAGTCGCTATTCTTACATTGGATTTGCAATCCTCGAATGACTGATGAATCAACGACACGTATCCCTCACAGGTCGCCTCGACGACCTTCCTCCTTGCCTCCAGTACTTCCCACCGGAGCGCGATGTTGGCATCGTTTTCGTTGTTGGCCGTCGTTGTTGTCGTCAGCATCGATGATTGCGAGCGATTGCAAATAGTACCGTATTCACTGTCGGCTTGATCGTAAGCCGTAATGGCCTCGTCGATCTTTCCCATCCAACTGCCMAGCTTCTGCCAAGCACTGTGGTCCATGGTAATWCCTGTCTCTTGCTATGATTGTGAATTGAAATGCAGAATCGATATGGCTGTTTGTAACACTGTTGTCGATTGTTTGGCTATGCAATCTCCAAGTTGTGCTATTTTGCAAGGTATTGGAATAAATATCAGTTGTTATCAMTTGTTACTATCAAAATAAYGCGTGATGATAAAAGTACCAACGAGYGTTCTCCATCTGTGTGSAACAGCCCGTGCGTCAAAAGGGAACCGCATTGGAAGTTTCCAGACCCGCCGTACGAACCTATATTCTTCATACATTACCGTACCAACAAGAAGTCGTTATTTTCGGTGAAAGTCAGGCCCTAAGAAGCTTAGGGAAGGAATATTTATCTMRAGAAGAACCGGCATAWAGGTATACGACAAGAAGAAGAGAATCGTACAGACCCGACATTTYGAAAACCCTTTRTCTGTATTAAATATATCAGGCTTTGTAAAGTCGTATCGTATTATTTGTAAATAGGATATWTTGATATTATAATTTARAATGTCCCAYCCGTCTTTTGTCGCCAARTTTAGATATGAATCTCCTATGCAACCTTTCTTTGCACTTTTGACACTTATACCACTGGGAYAATGAGAYCTCATAATGGCCARTGGAATGTTCCTACCCTTAGACATTTATCACTTAAGATTTTAATCACACTGCCAAAAAACATATGCGACAGACCCGCGGAATGTTCCCAAGAGTCTGCTGGAACAGATGACATGAAGTCTAAGAAATAAATAAATTCGAAAACGTTCTCAAACCACGGCCGACTCCCTTCGTCAGTRTYACGTACTACTTGAATGAACCACTCAAACCGCTTCCCAACGTTCCTAACCTCATGCATTATCTAAAGCGCCGAACCCGTCTCGGGTATGGAATCAATATTATTTGTATACTATTAATTTAACGAACCAGCGATTCTCCTAAATTTCATGCAACATTCCTACCCTGTTGTTGGTTCTCAAAATTTTCATCATGCGTCAGCAATCAGCAATAAGTAAATAATTCATATTACCGGTGCATACTGGTATTCAGTATGTTGGGAGATGTTCGGTAGGGTAAGATTACCAATATTTTTCTCTACCAGTATCACTATACTTTCTTACGGAGGACAATCGCACGATTACGTACTACTACACTAGAATCCGTTCGTACATACCTCTCACAACACGTCAATCATGTATGCATTTTAATACCGATSTCATGAGCACTTGGTGCGAACCAGTTTGTGCGCGGAAWGCRTTTATCGGTATCGGTAGGCACGACTTACCACGATATATGGGCCCGAAGAACTGGTCCTACCGGTACCTTAGAACTCGTTGTTAAACGTGTCTGCGTCTTTGGGACCCAAATTGCCAACGCACGCAC